GGGGAGAGGAAGGCGGGTGAGGGGGCGGAGAGTTGGGGGGCAGGGGGAAAGGGGCGGAGCATCGGCTCTGCAGGGCCCGCTCCCCTGCCGGGCTGCCCTTGGCTGGAAGCGTCTGAGTCTTCGCTGGGGCCGGGGGAGGTGATGGGAGAGAGAAGCTGAAGATGGGGCTCTGGGTATGGGGAGAAGTGGGGGGGAAGAGAAAGGTGAGGAGGGGAGAGCCGTGAGATGGGGGTGAGTAATGGCAGGTGACAGTCCCACCGTCTGGCCCCAAAGAGCGTCTCACTCCATGGCCCAGAATTTGACTTTGCCCGACTGCAGCTGGGACATCATCCACCGTTGTAGGGATAAGCCTGCCCCATGGCGAAACTGCCCCCTCAACTCTTCAATGAATGCCTGCGGATCTCCAAACCTGCCTTCCTTCCACCCCCTAGTCTGTCCTACATCTCCTCACTTTCCTCCTCCTGCGCCCTATCCTGGTCCAGAAAATCTCTGCCCACAAGTCTAAGCGCCAATAGGTTCCTTTTCCAATGTTCTGCTCAATCACAGGCTTTGTGACCTGTCACCTCCGACTCCGGCTGTGCTAAGCAAGACATTCAGCAGATGATGGCTCCTTAAAAAGGTTTTCTTGACTGGCACAGGAGGGTGGATTGCCAAAGGGATCTTTCATTCCCACCATGGCCCTAATCCAAAGACACACTGAATGGGAAACAGCTATGAGGTGGGCCGTCGGCTGGAGGATGCTGAAGCATTCAAAGCACCTCTCACAGACCCTTCACGCCAGTGTTGCTATCATCATCTTTTCTTTTTTTAAAGCATCAAACGCACCCTGGCCTATCAAATGCTCAGTTATATCTGTCTTTCTTTGGCCCTTTGTCTTCCACTGCTACAAACTATGATTTCCGCTCTCAATTTGAAACTAGCCGGATCTAACTGTGCTTCTGCCCAGTCTCATGACAGACGTCTGTTCCCAAAACAACTGAGGCTGGAGATGAGCCAATTCTTGGAAACGGGGGACTACACTGGACCCCCACCCCCAGCAAGAACATTATCACCACTGTCCAGCTGCTGCCGCCATTCCCAGTGCTTAAATGCAGCAAGAACTAATGTGGCTCTCTAGGGTAGAGGTACTTATCACAATGTCCTCCTGAGCTATATATTCCCCATGCCCCCGTCAACAGGGCACAGCCTCTCCTCTTCCAGGAGAGAAGGAAAGCAATAAAGTTTTCTCTCTTTTTATTTTCTTTCGCTGTTCAATAAACGGTGACAGCCCTATTCTGCCAGGAGCAGAAAATGGGGCCGAAGAGGTCACAAAAACAACCCCGGAGATCAAACGCAGCCAGCCAGTGGGACGGGCATTTCCCACCCCTGTTCCTAAACTCTGGTCTTGCCTCTTGCTCTTTAGACATCGCTCTCACACTTTCTACATCACTTCACCAAAGGGCCCAGACATGTATCCCCGTTTACTCCTTTCCTGTGTGTTTCATTTTTTTCACTGACAGAGTCCAGGTGCCTTTGAATGCAATGCCAACGGCCAGCAATTCAACAGGCTTGCCTTTCCCCTGCCATGGAAATGCAATAATGGGGTGGAGGGGCCGGGGTGGGGGTGGGCGAGCTGCGAAGCTCATCAGTTTTCTGCCTGTCCTCCATGCAAATGCGAAAGGCACGACACTCTCTTGGGAACAATCTATGCCGGCCTTTCTGCCTTCCCCACAAAAGCTTGAACTAAGTGCAGGATGGGATGTAGATGAGGCTGCTGGGTCTGTGGGTCTGTTTTCCCAACCCCAACCCCTTCAGAAACCAGCCCATCCTTCTCCCATGCACATACCTGCTTCACCTCCCACCATCACCACCCACAGCTGTCCCTCAGGGTGTGATCACACAGAGAAATAGATTCCAGTCTGGGCTGTTTGTGGAGCTATTCCATGTGATCTGTTTCAAGGTGACCACACAACACATGGGGAATAGGCTCCCAGCCCAGCTCCAGTTCTTGCTCAAGCTAGACCTTTCTGGTTCAGCTGTAGGGCTTCTACTTTTTGGGGGCTGGCCTGGAGCAATCCCCCAGCAGACAGAAGGGAAGAGAGGTCACTCCCATTAAAGTCACCCTTTCCATTACAATTAGAATTAGGCACGTGCCTTTGACGCTGTCTGATCACACCCTCAGTCTCTGCCCTATGTAACCGTTTATTTCAGTTATACCCTTCGTTGTCTCTCTTAGATGCCATATACTCACCCTGGGGCTGCTGAGGGGACTGGATGATAAGCCGGTGGAGGCACCGCTCACAGATCGAGATCTGTTTATCAAGCAGAAAGACACATTGGGAAGTTAAGTTTTAATTTGTGGGTAGGTTGATAACCGTAGAGTTCACAGAATCATCAGCAGGGGGGCAGGAAGTAAACCCCTGTGCAATTCCCAGTACAACCACCAGGGGCAGTAAAACTAAAAAACAGATCAAATACTGTACTTAAAAGTTTCATTCATGCTTTTAATTTCACTGTTCATAACACCAACATTTTGACTTTTTCTTATGTAAAACTATTTTTTAAAATTTATAAACTGTTTTGGTGGCCTGTTTGACACTCCCACCCCCACAAGTAACCCATAACTGCATAAAGAGTGGTATAAATTTACCAGATGGGCAGGATATAAATCAAATAAATAAATAAATAAATTATTTATTTATTTATTTATTTATTTATTTATTTATTTATTTAATTTATATTAAACTGCATAAAGAAATAAATACAAACATCCATGCCATTCTGACAAAAAAAATAGCAAGGTGGAGAAGTACTGAATGTTAAACATACACATGAGTAGAAGCGAAGCATGGAATAAAATAGTTCTAAAGACAGTCAGTCAAAGAAAGTCTTGGAAGTCTGTAGTTTTTAGTAAAGAAAAATGTAATTTGTAACTTTTTAGCTTTACTTGTATTTTAATTATCATGAGCTGTCTTGTGCCCCTTTATAGGAAAAAGGAGACACAGAAATTAAACAAACGAATAATACAATAATCAGAGAGCAGGGGAACAGAAAAGTGTTTGCCATGGGCAGTACCTGCAGTTCTCTTCAAGAGGAAGGAAAGCATAATGGAGAGGTGACAGCACCTCCTGGTGTCAGATTCAGAACACGCGCACACACGCGCACACACGCGCGCGGCATAATGGAGAGGTGGCAGCACCTCCTCGTGTCAGATTCAGAACACACACACACACACACACACACAGAGAGAGAGAGAGAGAGAGAGAGAGAGGTGTCAATTCACCTCTGGCTATGTTGTGCCATCTCTATGGCCCGTCGCGCTGGGACCGGAGACCCTCCATCTGTGACACTCAAAACTTCCATGGATTTCCTCTCAGGTCGGCGCTTTCCGTGTCGATTCAGCATGGGCGAGTCAACTCGCTTCCTTGGAGGATCTGAAAAAAATAATTCCACAGACTGAGTGTCAGGCTACTTTTTGGGTCCAGGAGCTGCTGTCCATTTGGCAACCAAGAAGGGGCAAGTGAGTGAGTGAGTGAGTGAGTGACGTTCTGTCCAACCAGAATCAATTTCTAGCAACCCTAACAGGGCTTTCAAGATAAGTGAGATATTTCAGGAATGGTTTTATCAGCTCCATTCCCCCAGTGAGTTGCCATGGCTACGTGGGGATTTGAACTCAGGTCTAGTCTGTTCCTCTATCCACTACATGACACTGGGTAGCTCAAAAGGGGCAAAATGCTGTAATATTCAGTGTGTGAGAGAACACGCACGTGTACATGTGTTATACACTTACATACACCCAGGCTGACTGGGCCAGAGAATAAAACTGGGGCTTCTCCTATGACATATGCAGTTCTAAGCACCACCAGCATTACAGCAGCAATGCATTGCAATGGCAGGACATCCCCAGAACAACTCCCATTTAATGAGAGACTCAAATCCTGGAAAAGTTGCTTTTTTGAGATGGCATCTCCCAGAACGTCCCGCCAGCATGGTGACTGAGGATTCTGGTGATTGTAATCCAGTATCTTCAAGGATTTAGCCACCTTAATGTATGGCAGCAAAAGAACAGAAACAAAACAACAACAAAGGAGTCTCATGGCCCTTTGAAAACTGCTGGCTCCCCTAGTGAGATTTTTACATGGATGGTTAGTCATTCCTGCTTTGACTGTGTTTTTAGTACTGCTTTGTGCTTACCATTTCTCCAAATGGCATTTACTTCTTCCTTTTTTAATATTTGTATATTTATTGTTTTTAACTTTGATATTGTTCTTTACTGATGTAAGCTGCCTTTTTGAACTCATTGTTCTTAGCTTTAAATATTGTCTTTCAGTGATGTACGCCTTGGATCCTCTTTAACGAGAAAGGCAGGGTTAAAATGTTTTAAATAAAATAATAAATATATAACAAGTTCATATGGCACACACTTTCCAAACCTAGGCATCCAGGTTTGGAAAGCTTGCGCCATTGAAGTTTTTAAAGGGCAAAAAGCCTCTCTATGGTTTTGGCAATGCAAATGTAGCTTTTCCAGGCTGTCGAGCACCTTAGCTAGGAACGGGATCGTCCTTGAATAACGGCCTATGCTTATGTTTTCTGCCTGGTTTTTCTGTTTTCCCTACAGTGGAAGAAAAAAAACCCAGAAGAACACAGAGGAAGAAAAGTACTGTATTTTTCGCACCATAAGACGGGAAAAAAAACCAGAAGAAACACAGAGGAAGAAAAGTATTTGGCCGTTGCCTTCCAACCCAGTCCAGAATTCCTTGCTTGGGGACTTGGTTAATGAAAGAGGTCCTGGATGTTTTGAAAATCTATTTTGGACCTTTCAGTAGAATCATGTTCCTGATCTCTTTCTGGGATTTTCCAGAAAACAGTGAACAAGTTCTATGGGAACGACCTTCTCAATCACTCTCACCAACATCGTTGCGTGGAGGCAAGTCCTCATCCTCACAGCTGGGATACCTCTCCTTGCGATCTAGTAGGAGATAGTAGATCATTTTCTCCTGATTCTCTCTGAAATAGAAAAGGGAACAAATGGGTGGAGGATGGTCAGGGCTAGGTAGGCCTTTGCTGCCTTGGATGGACGCAGGGGATTTTTCTCTCCCCAGCCCCAAAATATTCCCACCCCTCCTCCCTCCTGATTCTTTTGTTCCTTTCACCCACACTGTCAGCACACCTCAAACCCTGCTTCACCCTTCCTGCTACAAACCCATGTTACAACGTCTTTAAAAGAATCCCAGAAGGCATAGTTTTCTGGAGTGGCGGAAACGCCTCTGTTTTCACCACCTTTCTCCAGCCTGGTCTCCTCTTGACATGTTAAACTACAACTCCCAACATCCTTGATGGAAGTTACAGGCCAACTCACCTGGAGGACACCGGGCTAGGGAAGGCCACATTAGAACCAGATTTTTTGAGGGGGGGGCATTACTTTTGAATGGCAGCTCCCGGCACCTCCATTGGTGCAGTCCCTGCAACTCTTCCAAGCTATAGTAACTACGACCCATCTTGTTTTCTCACAGTAGTATAATTCTTGATGTTGCAGTGGGAACATTTATGATTATTGGGGCCTTCTCCAATGTTTGATTAATAAGCACATTTTGCACATTGGACCCCTGGACTTGCATGACTGATATTCATGGTTTCATTAATCGGCAGTTTCTCACATCCCTTGTGACCTTTGTCCCACCTCCTTGTATGTTGTATATAGGGTTCACTACTATCCACAGTTTCGGGCATTCACGGATAGATCCAGGGACAGATCTCCTGCAGAGACAGGGGTCCAACTGTACACTGTGCATTTCCATATTGCAAACTGCAAAAACTGAAACAGATTGTCGTTGTCCCTTTGCGCTCTGCACTCACCCCTCGTTCTGCAGCTCTTGCTTCAGCTTGTTCTTGTCACGGAAACAACCCAGTGAGTGCATGCTCTCCAGTACGTCAGGATCAAGCTCGCTGACCGACTGGATCCGTCGGATTGCGACCTTCCGAGGAATTGGCTGCTCTGGCTCCGGTTCATTTTTACCTCCCCTGGGAGAGAAGGATCAACAAAGTAAAAGGAAAATGATTCCCATTATCATGATAGGGTAGTGAAATGTAAGAGCCAAGGATAATAGAAAATTCAGTTGCCACCTGTCATGTTATAATGTGTGACCTTAACTGAAGGCAACAGGAAAAGAGGATGACCAAATAAAAGAGCAATTCACTCAAAAAGGAAGCCACAACCACGAGTTTGCATGATCTGGGTAGGGTTGTCGACAACAATAGTTTTGGGATGTCACTAATCCATAAGGTTTCCATAAAATGAAAGTGACTTAAGGCATATAGAAATAACAACTGCCATGCAAAGCAAGATGTTGGGGAAGCCCCTCCCCCAAATTATGGGTGACTTGTTTGCTGGCTTATTTAAAATATTTATGTTGCTCTTCTGTAAAAGCAACAAATAGCAAACAAATAAGCAGTGAATCAATTAAAGCCCGCAGAGCAATAGATAATTGAAGTACTCTAATACTAATAATGAAAACAGAAACAGAGGCTAATTTAAACAATTCCATTAAAAATCAACGCAGCATGTGTAAACTCATACAATTATAAAATGTTGAGAACTGTTCAAAGCACTCACTTACGTAGTGATAATGATTATAATTAAGAGACATTCCTTCCATTACGTATAGGAGAATTGAGTCTTTCTAGAAATTAAACTTATGTTTTTTTCCCCATTCTTGTTTCCTCTTTTTAATGGACCCAGAAACATTTCATTGCTCTCCTGTGGATTCAAAGAGAAGACTTTCTCTTCCGTATTTAGAGGTCCCAGAAACTGAACCAGGGACCTTCCATGTAAAACACATCTGCTCCCCACAGAATAAGAGTTCTCTCACATTATACCAAGGTATGCCTCATGGAAAAGGTAAGAGAGAATGTACTCCAAAGTTGTTGTTGTTTTTTTAATTTTAGCGAACACCAGAGCTTAGAAAAATTACTTTGTTGGCATTCAATTATCTCTGCATATTTGATTTTTAAAAAAATGAACAGCTATCCTCAAACAATACTAAAAATGGCAGATCAGTGCAAATAAGAGGATTTTACTGTAGTTGGTATGATATCTTTGTATTACTACAACTTAATTATAGTCAGACTAACCAGACAAGTAAATCTATTCATTTGTGTTAGTACAATTTGAATTATTTAGATCCTATGAGTACAGTACTAAATTGGAGAGGTTTAACCTCAAGCCAGAGTTTAGCTTAGATTACAAATTAGGTAATCTAGGTTACAAATTACAAGCTCGATTCCCCACGGTGCTTCCTGGGAGAAGAGTCAGACTGTGTGGCCTTGGGCAGGCTGCATAATCCTAGGGTGCTCCCTAGAAGAAGGGCATGATGATAAACCACTTCTGAGTATTCGTTACATGGAAAACCCTGGAAAGTGTTGCCAGAATTGACTTGACAGCATATTATTAACTTCAAAGCTCAGAAAACCAAAGAGATGCATCTATAGCAGTGGTTTCCAGATGATCTTGGACTAAAACTCTCAGAAGCCTTCACCACCAGATGTGCTGGCCTGGATTTCTGTGAGTTGTATTCTAAGAACATTTGGGGACTCAAAGTTGGGAAGCATGAGCAGGTAACCTTTTGGAGACCACATTTTGGTTTTGGAAGGGTCTCGGGGACTACATTTCTACAGCAACAGGTAGGGCTAAGAGACCAGGCTGGGCCAAAATAAACTATGCAGGGCTGGGAGTCCTTCTTAAGCATTTGGGCATTGTTTCATACACAAAGCACAGCTCAATTCTGTGCATGTCTACTCAGATGTAACTACCAGTGCGGCAACTTCCAAGAATGGAAAACATAGATCAGTTCGATCATGTAGTAAACTCTTGTGTAACATCTACCCAGACTGCAAACTAGAATTCAAATCTATGAATAGCTTCCTAGATTTTTGGAAGCTCCTTATCTCTTAGCTCCAAACACAGATCAGAGATAGCAAAGCATGAGGCTCTGCAGGATGAATGAGGTACCCCAACGTTCATGTCTGGCCAATAGGCCAGGGGCTCCCCATCCCTCATCTAAAGGAAGGGTCTCAGTCAGCTTGGTGATTCTAGAATATTTATACTTGCACATTCCCTGCATGTACTTTTCCCCAGTTTCTCCCAGGGATGGCAGAAGGCAAATTCAGAGGTGAGAAATGTTTGAACAACACCTCCCAGAAATCCTCACCCAAATAGTCACATTGGAAGGAGGATTCTGGGAGCGGAACTCCAATAAAATAGCTTTTGCATCCTCTGATAATGTGAAGGCAAAGAAAAATGAATTGGGCGAATTAGGTGAGGTTCGAAGATCTGGAGATACTCACAAGAACCATGGGTGTTTCTGAATCTGTTCCAGCTGAAGCCACCACATTTAAAAAAAGAGAGAAAACATTAGTCTTTTTCTCCTTCATGAATTGTCTAAACACTTATGTTAAGAAACCCCAGCCACATACAACCCCTGTTTCTGTCATTACAATCAATAGCAATAACCTGTTCCTATCCAGGGTCTGGTCTTCACTGAGATTATAAACCTGTGTCTGACTTGCAGTATTGAGAACCTATATGACTGTATACTCCACAGCAGAGATATATCCCTGCAATAGAAATCTAGCATGTTAATGAGAGGGATTCTATCTTAAATGCACTGATGTGCTAGTTTTCTATGTGTGAAGGGTTGCTAATTTGTTGGATAGTACGGAGGGTTATTCCACCATCATGTGGGTCCTTTTTAATGAGAAAGGTGAGATTAAAATATTTTAAATAAATTAAACAAATTAAATAAAAGTAATGCCCTATGGTTCCTGTATCGACACCAGCCTGAAATGATGTGTCCCATACACAGGTTTATGTCTTTAGGAAGACTAGACACACAGCACTACAGCTTAGAAAGATATGAAGCTTGGAAGAAGCACGGAGCTCTGCATCCCTTCCCACTGGATGTCCACATTCCTGCCTCCGTTTGTTCATTGTTCACAAGGACAGGGAATGACTCACACTCAGCCGCTTCTCAGGTTCCACCTCGATCATGCCTCGCAAGAGGTTCTGGCAGTCAGGAGGGATGAAGTGGGGCATGTGGAAAATCCCCCGCTTGACTTTCTCCAACAGCTGCCGTAGGTTGTCATCATCAAAGGGTAGAGCTCCCTGCAGAACAAAGGATGGGAGAAGCCAAGGGAAAAAAAATCAGATTCACTCAAATGCAGCATTCTTCAGTGGCCCAATCCGAAATTTCATACACAGACCTTTTGATGTTTACATTAAAGAGCACACTATGGGAGTGAACACGTCTTTTCTATGACAGTTCCATCAACTTCCTCTGCCTTCCTCTGCTTGCTTCGCTTGTGCTACAAGTTTTATTACAAATTCTATGGAGAAGAAACCTGCCCCTTCACTTTCTAAATCAAGGAAGAAGGTACAGTGGTGCCTCGCTTAGCAATGTTAATTGGTTCAAAAAAAAAAAACATCACTATGGGAAAACATCGCTAAGCGAAACACCATTTCCCATAGGAATGCACTGAAAACCGGATAATCCGTCCTTAAGCGAAAATCGTCATAGGAAACATTGCTAAGAAAAACACGATTCCCCCATTGGAATGCATTGAGTAGGTTTCAATGCATTTCAATGGTTTTGACAGGTCGCTATGTCAGACCTATAGTTTTCGCTATGTCAGACCTATAGTTCAATGCATTCCAATGGGGGGGCGAAATTCACCAAAAATTAACGAAGACTCAGAACAATGCCAAATTACGTTTGCAAAGGTTTTACAGGGTGCACTAACGATTCCAAGCATTTTAAATAGTTTTTGAACATTTTAAGACACTTTTAAAATAGCGAAAACGGACATCGCTAAGTGAAACAGGGGGACCTAAACTGTCATCGCTAAGCAAAGCAAGGTCCCGAACATCGCTATGCGAAATTTCCCCATTGAAAACATCGCTAAACAGAGCACAAGATCGCTCCAAAAACCTCATCGCTAAGCGAATACATCGTTAAACGAGGCAATCGCTAAGTGAGGCACCACTGTAGATGTTAATCTACTTGGTTTTGGCATCATTTGCATAAGGCCAGCAAGAATGTCTAATTCCCAGCAGTTTAGACATAACAGCCACAAAATGATCCCTAATGGTACTGACCTGAACTATACTGCTGAAATGAAGGGTGCTTGGGTTTCTGCGAGCACTGTTCAATTCTGGTAACCCAAACCAATTCCCAGGGTCAGAATTCTTTTAATTCTCAGCTTCTGCCTCCCCCACCTTTCTCAAGTTAATGGATCTCAGGGGTTTCATCAAAGACAAAGTAGATCCTTCAAGCTAAAATAGGCTCAGGCTGGTTTTAAAGAAACCCATGCAATGATGATAATACAAACAATAGCAGTTTTCCCTGTCAAACCCAACCCTACCAGAAGAAAGTACTAAATTCTAGCTGGCTGTTCTGTAGGGTCACCAAAGGACAACAAACATTCAGATATTGGTTATGTGCTTATATGTGCATGTATGGGTACCCAAGACCTCAAACTGCCTTCTCATTATGGGGTGGAGATGACTGCGGGCTCTCAAAGGCTATGTCACCATAGCATAAATTCCAACAGATTCTACGAAGCTGGTAAGGCTTTGAGCGTCACTTCAGTAGTATACTATATGCCTGCCATCTGATAAGGCTTGTGACCAAAAGGCTGGCCACCAGGAGAAGAACTGGCCATAGGAATTATAAACATGGCATTAGTGTGGAACAGCTGGAATCTGCACTAGTAGAGAAACTGCCTGCACGAGTGAAAACACCGATCATCAAGCGTGTGTATGTGTGTGTGTGTGTGTGCAAGAAAGAGAGAGGGAGGGGAGAGAGAGAATAAGGGCATTTGGCTCTTCTGCCAACTGACCTAAAATGGCTGCTTTAGAAAACAGATGCCACTGAATGGAGGCTTGGAACCTTCCTGCCGTGGTTGAATACAAGGAGTGTAAAGAACATGGTGATTATTGGGGAACAGCCTTACCACCAGCAAGGCAAAGAGGATGACTCCACAACTCCACATGTCAGCACGACGTCCATCATACTTCTCGCCCTAAAGAGCAAAGAGCAGAGAGATTTCAGATTTGCTTACTGCTGAGCACAAAACAAGAACGAGGTGAGGTGGGAAAGCTCACTGGGAACAATGAATAATTAGAAACTAGAGTTGAAGGCAGGAATCTTGTCCAAACATTAACAGCAACCAAAAGAAGGATAGATTTACCTTTGTAGAATGAGACTCAGTCCTCTGGGCTTTTTAACCACTTGGGACACAGTGGAAAGAGAGGAGACTTTCCGAGGGAAAGGATTTTGAAGCCACTATACACTGTGTGGTGTAATGATTAGAGCCCTGGACTGGGACTCAACAGTGGCAGCCTCAAGTCTCCACGGAGTTTTATGCATGTAAATTGAGGAGAATAGCCTTGTTGGCCACCTTCAGCTCACTAGAGTAGTGGTTCCCAAGGCTGGGTAACCCAGGTGTTCTTGGACTGCAACTCCCAGAAACCCTGGCCAACACAGCTGGGGGTGAAAACATCTGGGATTTGCAGTTCAAGGACACCTGGGTTGTCCCAAGGTTGAGAACTCCTACACTAGAGGAAAGGCAGCATATAAAAAGTAAAGGTAAAGGAAAAGGTTCCCCTTGACAATTTTTTGTCCAGTCGTGTCCGCCTCTAGGGGGCGGCGCTCATCCCGCTCTTCAAGCCATAGAGCCAGCGTTTTGTCCGAAGACAATCTTTCCGTGGTCACATGGCCAGTGTGATTTAGACACGGAACGCTGTTTACCTTCCCACCGAGATGGTACCTATTTATCTCCTCGCATTTGCATGCTTTCGAACCGCTAGGTTGGCGGGAGCTGGGACAGGCGACGGGTGCTCATTCCGTCGCGTGGATTCGAACTTACGACTGCTGGTCTTCTGATCCTGCAGCACAGGCTTCTGCGGTTTAGCCCACAGCGCCACCACGTCCCTTTTATATAAAAAGTAGGAGGTAAATAAATAAAGAATTATTTCCATTGCCAATTATTGTCTGCAGAATGATTGTGAAATTTTATCCAGAAGTTTTATATTCAGGTCTACTGGGCCCCAAAGAAGGGTTTATTTGAAAATATGCTGGACTTGATAAACCTCTCTTTTTTTTGTGCTCCTGAAGGTCCTCTCCTGTTTTTCCTTCTTCCTGTGATTGCTCTTCTCCTATTGGTTTTTCCCCGGTGAGTTGGGGTAGAGTCTTACTCAACAAACTCAGATCGATTGCCTCCAAATTCTAATCTACAGCTACTAAGAAGATATAATAACATTTCAAATTTGCATGACCAAGTGATTGTTTCTGTTCCCCAGCAACAGTCTCAAAAGTGCTGGGAGCTTTATTTACCATATCCTCAAAATAATCTCACTTCTGGGGGAAGAGAATCATTAGCACTCTTCCAACCCACCCACTAAATGGACTGAAACCCTGTAATTTTAGAGAATTGAGCTTTCACTTTCCTGATTTCAGGTATGTACTAAATATAGCATTCCTAAAAACGGCACCCTCTAGATGTACTAAACTACAAGCCTGTCATCATCTTGGGGGATGATGGGAGTTGTAGTATAAAGCATCTGAAGAACACAAGATTGGAGGAGGCTATATTAAGACTGTAAGCTTCAAGGGCAAGATTTCTATAAAGCCAGAGTTGGCAATCTGGTGGCCTCTCAGATATTTTAGACTTGATTTCCAATCATTCCTGGTCATAATGGCTGGGGTTCATGGGAACTGTGGTACAAAATGCCTGGAGGGCATCAGCTTACTTATCATGTCATGAAAGGTTTGGAAGATGAAATACAAATCCACCTGAAACCATATGTAAGTAGAACTTTCACCAAAAAAATATGAAAATATGTATTTTATTTGATTAATGAATTAGTCAAGCAAATAACTGTACAAACGCATATGAGAGGAATTTAGAAAAAGAAAAGAAAAAAACATCGGCTTAGAAAGAGGCTTTAATCATACTTAATATAGACAACTAAAATCAATGCTACTCATAACAATTACATTAAATCCCATTGATTTCAATGAGTCTTTATTTTGTTTTTAATCATGCGTATCCATGTCACACCCAGCATCATTCTAGATAAACATTCTCTCACACTCAACAAGGAATACCTCCTCTAAAAAGAGTGCATTGTACAGTATTTTTTTAAAAAAAAAACTGGGCTGGACATTGGTCTTTACAACCTTGTAATTGTATCTTACGTGGATCCTTGTGATCCCAAACGGATGTAACTGTTTGGTAAATGACAGAATTGTGCCTCGGTCACAGCTACACTGTAGTTTCCTGTCCCTGTGGCCCCAATTCCTAAATGCTGTTTAGTTACATGCTTTGTTTTGCATGAGCTAAAGCATTCACTCTTATAGTATATTTTTCAGAATACAGTGGTGCCTTGCAGGACACAAAACTCGCAAGACAAATGGTTTTGGCAATGGGGGTTGATGACTCGCAAGACAAATGTTCCTATGGCTGTTCTTCGCAAGACAAATGTTTTCCTTTTTTTGTTCCTGCCTCATGTTTGCTGATTTTTAAATGTTTTTCTATGATGTTTAAAAAGTTAAAGTTTTTTAATTGAAAAATTTTAAATCATCTGCACAGTATGTATGGTTTTAAAGAGCACTTAATAAACCCTTTGTACCAAATTTGACTTTGTTCTGACTTTTTTGCCCATAGGAACGCATTAATTAGATTTCAACGCATTCCTATGGGAAAATGAGTTTCGCAAGTAAAATGTTTCACAAGACAACATTAACTGCAGAACGAATTGAATTTGTCTTGCGACGTACCATTGTAATAACAATTTTGAAGGAAAAAATTATAACAGTTGGTCTGGATCCAAACTAATGGGATTTCTCTGAGTAGAGATGTAGTCATGGCGCTGTGAATCAGTTATGCATCTTCAATTTAAATCAATAAGACTGAAGTTAGTTATTAATAGTAGGAACCTGGTTTCACTACACTTAGGTCAAATTGGAGCAGGCTGGAAGGGGCTAAATAGGGTTGCTGAAGGTCCCTTAAAGGTACAGTAAGGTATTTGGTATGATTCTTCCATCCACACAACAAGTGACCTTATTTGATCCTCCTCCTTGCTGCCTCCTCTCCTCCTCCTCACATTAACAAAGGCCCCAACCAAGAGAGGAAGCTTTCGATTGTTATTTTTTTCCCCATAAGGTGTAATGTATCAGTGCTGCTCTAATTATGCTTTTTAAAAAAATCTTTGCTTTCTTCCTCTTCCCCTCCACGGAGAAGCAAGGGAAGATTTTAATTTCCAAATATTGTAAAGATGCTAAGCTGCCTGCTTAAACCACTTAACAATATCAGTACATTGAAAGCAAACAGGAAATTGAAACCAGCAAGCCATCCACTTTGGTTCAATTCCAGTGACTGCATCGGCTCGAACCAAACCAAAACGAAGCAATACTCTGTGCACCTAAAAAAGAGTAGTCCTGAAAGAGAGCCCAAATGATGTGTATATTTCAAGACTGTCTGATTCACACTGGCACTTGCTTCATTTTTGGTAAAAGGAGTGAATCGATCTGTCCTCAGAGAGGATCAAACTGCGTGAAAAATCCCTGTGTATTCATTTCCTTAGTTTGGATACAAATTTTTGTTGTTTTGTCACTTAACCTTTATTAAAATGTGGTGAACAATGACTTAGGGTGAACTTTTCAGTCAACCAACATGTTTAAATTGATTATTTTAAACAAGTAGTGTACTAACAGTCCAGTTTAGGACACATGTAGTCAGAAGAACCTCTGGCTGAATTTAATGGGGATTTTTATATAAAATCCTACACCATCCAAGCCCCATGTAGGAGTACGTATCTATATCTACACCTATTTCTATTCATGTATATCAGTAGGTATATTTAGGCATATATAATAACATGATTTTATTACATGCACATCGATATACCTATTGATAGACACGAATAGAAGCAGATGAAGATTATAGATACTACTGTGCAAATCTCCAATGTTAAGGCATTAAGACTAAAATGGTGTGTGTACGTACACACAAATACACATGTTTAAGACCCATTGAAGCTACTACTCTGGTTGGCAATAACAGACAGACCCACTGACTTGCAACTCTGTGGAAAAGCAAGAAGTAAGGAGATACCAGCAGGGATAAATGGTGGGCACTAGGCCAGAATCCTTACCTTGATCACTTCTGGACATGCATAGTGAGGAGAACTGCAGCCCAGCATTGGGGGCAGAAAAGAGAGAGAAAGACAGAGAGACAGAGGAAGAGTGAAACGCAGGAGAAAGCTGATCCATAGGGCCACCACAGGTTCAACAAGCATGCAATGTGGAAACTACTGGACATTTTCCACCTCCCCCTATCCAGAATGGGTTGTGGGAAGAAGTGCCTACTGATGTGTAGCCCTCAGGTGCCTAGGACACTTTGAGATACTCTAACAGCACTAAAAACATTGAAAACAAAAACAACATCAAATCATCCATGGGAGAAACTTGCCAAAGACTTTCGTGAGATGAAAGTCTTAAAAAACCCTCCTCCAGTCATACATGTGCCAGATAACCATGGAGGGCATTCCCCAGCTCTGGTGATACTATAGAATAAATTCTATGACTGAAGCCAATTCTAAAACTGAGAGAATCAGGAGCATCTTCATGGATGGACGAAGTTCCTGCAGGAGACGGCAGTACTCCTAGGCCAACGTTCACCAACCTGTATCCTGTTAGCTAGCTGGGGATGATGGGAGTGGTATTCAGACAACTCTGGGGTGCAAAAAATGGGGAAAGCTGGGCTAAGCAATCCCCGTATCTCAGTATACTCCCAACTAGTTCAAACAGCTTCCTCAGCCGCCACCACCATCCCTAAAAATCTAGAAGTAGTTAAAGGAATTAAAAGGCCATATGATTGCCAGGCAGTCTCAAAGAACTTCCTCCTTTTTGTCCTGGAATAAAAATCCCCACAGACACACATTTTCAATGACAAAGAAAATTCATAGTTCCAAACCCAGAAGTCCGGGGGACGTGAGATAACCTGGATTGGAGCTGTGTCATGAGGGGAAGATTGGTTTAACTCCATGGTCCTGAACCCTTATGGCTACTATCTGTCACAAAAGGAAAGCTTCCAGCGCTACCCTATGGAAGCTGCCGAGGCCACGATCTGGAATGCAGCGGCAAGAGGGCGAAACGGTTTCCAACCTTATTTCTCCTTCGGCTACCATCTCAGTCTCGATATGGGGCCCTGCAACTGCTGCTTACACCCAATTTGCCCCTACAAACATTGCCAGATTTTAGAAGCTTCCTCACAAAGTAGGCCAGGTCTTTCCTTCTGCCGGGGCTCTCAACAAATATTTCCAGGGTAGCAGTGTTTAATGGCTAATTAAAATTAAATTAATCTCAAAGTAGGAAGCTGAGCAGAACAAAACCACAGCTATATAAACTAGCAGGTCCATATTTGCTGGGTGGTGTTAAAAAGCACAGAACAGGGATGGGTAGGAGAAAGCTAAGAAGATGGTTGTTGTCTACTACTCCCAAAGGGGTATGTTTTCTATTCTTCATGGGATATGATCCTTGGACTGTCCTATTTCTAGGGCTGTCAGATTCCTTACAAATTCATTCCTTTGCTACATGGTAGAGGACAGAAGTGATTTACACATTAAGTAGCAAATAAAGATGGGCACAAACCGGTTGATCCAAGTTCATAAAGTCAGCAGCACAGGTGCGGCTGCTCCTCTTTCCCGCCTCCTCAGTTGATTCAGCCACTCACCAGGCCCAGCTGGCTTGCTTTGGTTAATCTCCCAGTCACGAGCAAGAGCACAGACTTCTCTGCCCCGCCCTTTTGTCTGAGTGGGAGATCAGCCAAGAGGGCAGGGCAGAGAAGCCCAGGCTGCTGCCAGGATGGGAAGATCAGCTGAGGAGGTGCAGGAAGCTAGCGTGCTTGGCCTGGTGAGTGGCTGGTCAGGCCAAAGGAGGTGGGAGAGGGTAGCAGCAGCACCTGTGCTGCCACCTTTGCAAACTTGGATGAACTGGTTTGTGCCCATCTCTAGCAGCAAATATTCCTGTCTCATTAATACAGTGGTGCCTTGCTTAACAATTGGCCCACATTACGACGAATCCGCTTTACGACTATCTTTTTGCGATCGCAATTGCGATCGCAAAACAATGGTCTAAATGGGGGAATTTTGCTTAGTGATGATCGGTTCCCTGCTTCGGGAACCGATTTTCGCTTTATGACGATCAAAACAGCTGATCGACGGCTTTTCAAAATGGCCACTGGGTGCTTAAAATGGCTCCCCGCTGTGCTTAGGGATGGATTCCTCGCTATACAGGCAGCGAAAATGGCTACTGTATGAAGGATCTTCGCTGGACAGTGAGTTTTTACCCCATTGGAACACATTGAACTGTTTTCAATGCGTTTCAATGGGGTTTTTAATTTCGCTTTACGATGTTTTCGCTTAACAGCGATTTTCCTGGAACGGATTATCGTTAAGCGAGGCACCACTGTTTCCCAGTGAACATCTTATTGTGTGAAGGGGACAAGGAGTTCTATAAAGACATGGATCACTTCTCCTAGGTTTACAGACACATACTTACTTCCTACTTCACATTTTACACTCTTTAGCAGAGCAGGGATTCTGCTGCTATTCCTGCAGAAATGTGTAAATTTGTGATGTGTGAATCGGGACAAGGATCAATTTGCTGGATTCTCCACCCTCTCCTCCCCCCCCCTTTTTTTTTAGCATAGCACACATTCTCTCCCTGGCAGAAGCTGGCTCACCCACAACTTGTTTCCAGCAGGCTATCTCCGACCTGCAGGGAGGCCATGCCGAAATCTGCAATCCGGATGTTGTTCTTCTCATCCAGCAATAAATTTTCTGGCTTCAAGTCTCGGTGGCTGAGGAGGCCCAAACAAAATGCAATAAGAGATAAAACACATATGCCAACACATGCGTGCAACCCTGCAGCTTACACGGAATCTCACTGATTCTCTTACACTGAATCCCAGCATGCAATAACTGGGGAATCCACTGGAGTATGGAGACCCCCAGAAGGAGAGACAAATATGTTTCCAGTTCCTCTCATTATAGAGATGACTTTTGGGCTCATTTGACACTCTGAAAATCAGATGTTGTTCTCCCAGGGCTGCTCCTCATGAATAAGGAACTCCTAGGTTTCAACTCCATCCACTTTCTAACTCTCCTTGGTCATTTCTGATGACTGAGAGATGATATGACAGCCATGTTCAACCACTGGAAGGACAATCTGATAGAAGAGGGAGGAACTTTGTTTTCTGCTTCTCCAGAGGGTAGGACCCGACCAATTAATTCAAATTCCAAGATTCTGACCAAACAGTAGGAAGGATGTCCTGACGGTAAGAGCCACTCAGCCGTGGGACGGACTGCCTTAGAAGGCTGTGGACCCTCCTTCATGAGAGGTTTCAAAGCAGAAGTTGGATTTTCATCTGTCGGGAATGTTTAGTTGTGAAATTCTTGCCCTGCCAGGGGGGCAGATTAGATAATCCTTGAGGATTGTAATTCTGCAATTCAGGGTTACAGGTGACGGGCATTTCCTTATTAAACTGAGGAATTAACCTTGTATACCTCATGGCCAAGGAGAAATAATTCAAAAGCTACTGAGATTACTAGAGGATGTTAAGTTAGCTCAGTTCAACCACCAAGACTCTGCTTCCTCCTCATTGAACCTATTAACTGGACTTGCCATTTTCATTGTTTATCAGCTAGGTCCCCTGATTTAACCCATTTCCTTTCTAATGATTGTAAGCTAACAGTCACTGGAACAATCTCTTTATGTTGGAATAAGCATGCACAACTTTTCAGACCAAAATATTATCAATATCGATAGGCACATCAGAAAAGTCTATATGGTTAAAGAAAGATGTTCTGGTTTGAACACTTACAGCCTTAGTTGCACACAGTTATAAAGAGACAGGAATTCAGGCATCATTTAAACACCTGAACCAAAAGGCATGTCCAATCGGATGGTAGCTGTGGAGTCACCACTGAGAAGGCCCTAACTGTTGTGCTCACTAACCTAGCCAATCTTACTGGCAAACCCACAAACAGGAGATCTGAAGTAGATCTTAAAATGCAGGCAAGATCGTATAGCGAGAGGCGATCATTTAGCTGCCAGCTTACATATCAGCTCGTGCTTTAAATAGTTAAATGTGTAGACATTAGGAAGTGCTAGAACTTATCTCTGTGTGAGAAGAGCTTCACCTGCTTGATATCACAACAGGAAAATGAATCCCAAGAAATGTCATTCTCCTTTACCGTTCATGCAAGAAGAGAAGGCGCCATGACGACACTAACACATCAGTGTGAGGAGCAGATCAAACAGAGAAGATGGGGCGGAGGGAAACTCACCATATAGAATAGCTATGGCAGAAGTCCAAAGCTGAGACAATTTGCCGGAAAAACTTCCTGGCTTCTTTGGGCGTAAGTCGTCCTTTCTTCACCAAGTAGTCAAAGAGTTCCCCTCCTGAGACATGTTCCAAGACCAGGTATCTAAGACAAAAGGAATCCAGAGACAATGGGACTGAGGACCAGAGAACAAGCAGGAAAAGGTGTTGAAAATCTGTGAGGAGCCCCAAAGGAACACAATTGCTCTCAGAATTCATTTCAAGCAAAACCAATTGCAAAGCAGACTGAAAGGAAAGAGAAAGAAACACCAAGCCCAAGCAGAGAAGATAAGAGAGCTGCTTCTAAAAGTAACTAAATGTAAATAAATAAATGCACATGGGGAGGAGGTGAATATCAAAGCCAGGGCTTCACTACATTATGTTAAAAGTTATTTAATAGAATTTTAAAATTTTAAAATGAAAAAATGATCTGAGTGCCCATCTACTGTTCTAAGGCCTTTGCATTAGCCCGGCAGAACAATAACACCTGGACCACTTGTAAGTCACAGGGTAGAATCCTGCCGGTGCATTTTTCCTTGTATTTCCACAGGCAACAGAGCTTAGTGAAAATGGCAAGATTTAAAGTGAATATTGAAAATATTTTCCCCACTGACTATTCCAGCGGCAACTTTATGGAGAAGCAGCATTAGTCTATTTTTGTCTAAAAGATGGATATATGTGGCTGACATCAGATGACTAAAAACCACCACCACAATAATTCAAAAGGACAGACCCAGCAGAGTTACCACAGAAATGTTCAGGAGCACAGTATCAGTTTCTAAAAAACTCCTCCATGCAAGGATTTCCCAGTAGGTAAGTCATGGTTTATGTCTTTTGTGCTTTTTTTAAAAAAAAACTCTGTCATACTTTAAGGTGTTAATATCATTGTTGTGCTTATCCCCACAAACCCACCCACAATAATATCACATCCACAGGGGTTCTAACTTTAGACACCTCCTTTCCTCATGGTAAGGTTGCTTTTGATCTGTCGTGCTGCGGCATGTTTGATTCTCTAATGGAAGTGATTAGTGCTTTAAGCAAGAAACTTTCATTGTTGAACTCAAAAGCTGGCATAATCTTGCCTCTCCAAAAGAAAAATCCAGTCTGATTTTTAAAAATCACATACATATGTGCATATCATATATATATTTTTATAATGTGCCCCTGTGTTGTATTTCCTCCAGGCAGCCTCTTTTGTCCAATCCCTTTGTGTCTCTCCACACCTCCTCCCATTGTGTCCGTGGAGGGCTATGACAAAGAGGGCTTATGTGTGAGGAGTGCCCGTTGTCTGGCACCGCCTGGCATTCTGGACAGCCATCCCTCCTTCCCGTTCTCTGTCTCTCCCCTCCTCCGCACGCACACACACATGTTCGCAGAGACCAAGCCACTCTGGCAACAGTCACACACAGAGAAACACAGATAGCTTCTACCTAGGAAACCACTATCCTGTGCCAGGAATTACCAGAACAGATGGGACATGTTCACCAACCTTTCTGTTTTACTGGCCTTTCACAGCGGGCTGACATGCAGAAATCAAGCTTGTATTTCACCATCACCTTCTCTCCAGGAAGGAAGATTTTAGCTGCTCCCCTGCTTCCCACCCCTTGCTCGTGTGAAGGCCATGGAAATAAATGAAATAAAATAATTCCTTTGCTCAAGGAATTGTTTGTCTGGAGGGATGGGAACTGGACAGCTGGATCTGAGGAGTAAGGGGATGAGTACAGGGGGGCAAAAGTATCCAATTTGAAGTAGAATCATTGGGGTATCCCTTTTGCAAGAAAGAACAGCGCTGGGGTCAGCCCATGAGCTAATTTATTCTCATTAACATTCTCATGAAAATCAGCCTGTAGGAAACCTCTGAGCAGGAGCTTGTTCTCTGATTTAAAACACCTCTGATTAACTTGGATGTATTGATGTAGCAGCCAATTGATACTACTGTTTTAGTAGCATCAATTGGCTGCTGCATCACTATATGCACACATACATACGCCTCCCTGCTATTATTTATCACATTGATATCCTGGCCTGACTTCAGAGAGCAGAACATGTGGCTTGGCTGGCATTCCAAATAGGCTCATAGCCAGAAATTTAGTGGTGTACAGCGGGGGAATTGTTACGGATCATCCAGAACATACTGTACATCAAGGTAGATTATGATGTTTAAAGTTACTTAAGTGTATTCCCTCTTGGGATCAGACAATGCTTTATATTAAACATATTATTTTTAACCTGCTCTCCCTATTTCTTAACAAAGCAAAGCAAAAACTATGAGGTAGATACATCAATTTAGATCCAGATTGTGGCGTACTGAGTGTAGGAGAGTTTTTTTTAACTTCTCCTTTTTACTGCTTGTCCTTGCAAAACATCCCATTCACACTGCTATTAGTCCTCACGGATGCTGCAAAAGGGCTGGCAGGAAAACGGCAAAGAAAAAAAGTGTTAAAGAAAACAGTAAAGAAGAAAGAGTTAAATTTCCTTCTCCGTTCTATAGTCCCAATCCAAATCAGAGCCACTTGTGGCTACTTTTTATTAAGACAAAATAGTGGTATTTTTAAAATAGTGCATTTCTTGTGTTCTGTATTAAATGAAAATGAATTAGTGCTTGTAGAAGCCAAGATACGAAACAAAATGTACAGATGCTATTCTGCTGCACAGTTTTGTGAGAAATTAGTTTGGACCTGCCTTTCAGTGTTCTTCCTTAAACTTACATCCTTTGTCTATAAAGGGAAGCTTCTGGTTCATTTTAAGCTTACTTTCTCTCTCTCTCCCTCCCTCCCTGGATGTTTTCTTCCCACAGTAGTTGATGCCCTGTACGAAGCAATTCAGATACCCAGGATTTTCACGTACCTGTGAACAGGTACAATGGCAGATTTCCAAAAACGAAAAGAAATGGCAAGGAATCCATGGTATTTCTACCTTGAGATTTTATTTTATGCTCCCCAAGATGTGAGTTTTGTTAGCCCCTGCATAAACAGACATTTTGAAAGTTTAACTAGCCAATTTGTATAATATCTGTTACTATATAATAGCCATATTGCTTGGAGTAGAACTGTGGCTGAAAAAAAACATGAGTTATGTCAGCTCTGCTGAGTAGCTGGGTATTATACCCATGGGCGGACAGAGTTAGAATAGTTAGAGTGGTGTATCTATGACAACTCTCCAGTGTATCAAGGGCTGTTATCTAGTCTCCAGGCATATTTTTTACCAAAGAAATGTAATGATGAAGCTAGGAAATTGACTTCAGAAGCAGCCCAATTAATTACACAATGGAAGAGAAAAGTGTGTAGGGCTTTAGTTACAGGTAGGAATATATCATTCAGACACCAGTCCTAATAAATGAGAAACAACAAAGGAACACATCTGGTAAACAAACAATGGCAAGTCTTGTATCATCTTAAAGATGAACTGTTTTATTATGACATGAGATTTATTAGACTAAAGTAACTGAAGTTACTCAGAAGCCAGGTCTATCCATCTTAGTAGATACAGTAGCCAGGCCTCATTGCTACTCAGAACAGATTTGAGGCACAGGTTTACCAGAAATTGTCTATCTGTAGATGCTCATAATCCTGCTCACACTTTTTTCAGAGCTCAGAAATGTTACATTTTTTAGTGTCGCTCCCAGAACACCCCCCCCAAGCCAGCTTAGCCAATGTTGGAAGGTTCTGAGAGTCATGGTGTTGGTGTTGTTTTTTTAAAACAGCATTCAATGACCTAAAGAATCGCTGAAGAGGCTAGGAAGAACCCCAACTTTTGTCCTGGAATGGAAATCCCCAGTTGGCAGTCAAATCAACAAAGAAAGGATTTTCTATGTTCAAACTATGCAATGATCACACTTACCACTGCCCCACTATTAATTTGTGCAATGAAGACAGCTGCAGAGCCACCTGCAAATAAATACTTACAAATATTTTTTGTTCTCGTAGACATCGTGGAGTTTGAGCACGTGGGGATGTTCAATCAGTTTCAGAATGGCAATTTCCCGTTCCACCTAGAAGGGAGTGGGTGATAGAGAGGCAGACTGATTATGGGCAATATCCTTCCGTTACGCAGCAGGACCTCCCAGATGTGTTAGACTACAGTTCCTAACCTGATGGCCAATGATACTAGGTTTAAAAAAAAGCAGAAGTGGAAGGGCGTTTGTTTGTTTATGTTTTCAAAAGATCTTTTTGCAGTTCTGCCAATGTCTCGGGATCCTTGCGTTCTCCAAGAAGGGAAAAGAGAGTGAAATAATTTGTGTGGCGTTCTGCACAAACTCGAAGCTGCCTGGAGTGAGTCTCTAATTAGATTGGAGTATCATAGTATAAAATAAACAACAGATGTGCAGGGAGGGAGCAGAGGAAGAAATAAGCCCACGTGGTTCCCTCACACAGAGAGAAACACAAAGAGTAACCCGTGAAAAGGTTGGGTGAGGACTGTGCAACATGGACTCTCCTTGCTAGAGTGGTCATCTGTGGGGAGAGGCAGGGAAGCACTAGCCAGAACTAGTTCCATGACTGGCACAATGATGATGGTGATCGCCATGTGCGCCGTGGCAAGCCCAGTCAGTGGACCAGACTGTTTCTGGGAGCCAGGAATGAACTGCTGTGGGACCTGTGGTGCCACAACTTCGTATTCGTATCCCAGGGGATATGAATATGAAGCACCTATATCTACGGATGTTGCTGATGAGCATCTACAGATAGACGGCATCATCAACAATTCTGGCCACGAGTGTAATTGGGGGCGACTCACTCTCCATGACTGAACTAGGTGTTCAGAGGCTCCAGTTGGCTGTCCATGCCACCAAAGCTACTAGAAGTAGGACGGAACCTTCTGGCTAAAATTTTACATGGCAACCCACGAACCTCCTTGCCTAGGAAGTCAGATGAAGCCAAAAAGCCAATAAAATGCCCGTAATTGAGATAAAGATTCACAGATGTGATTTCCTTCAGTTTGGCCGTATGTTGCTACCTAACCCTCCCTCTGTGACTCCAGATTTTTACTCCTTGTCTGCCGCCAGCCTGTTTCTAGTCTGTCTGTCTTCAACCCGTCAGCCAGACTTTAATGTACCAGCCAGGGCACTGTGCCTGCTAGTGGAAAGCACGCCCCACCCAATTGCATGTACATTTGTAATGTGCAATGCCCTAATGTCTCCCCTTTAAATGTCAAAAGGAATTCCAGAATTGGTTTCCGCTTCTGAATGTTGCAGTGCCATGTTAAGATCCACACAGAAGCTTGTCGGCTATCTCTTTCATAATTTCAAGCCTTTTCTCTCTACAGGGATGGCACAGGGGGGCCACAAATAAGAGTTCCCTATAATAACCAACATTGTGAACCAGCAATTTTTGAAGAGACCCCCCCCACACACAGCTTTCCATCGCCCTCTGCCACCCAGCCTTGAAAGAAAACTTTTCTGAGAGGAAAATTATTCAGGGACATTAGGTTTTGCTTTAGGCTGGTCAGGTGCTCCCCCTGCATCGGCCACCCGCCTGAACAAAAAACACCTAGCCTTATTTTATTATATTTTAAAAATCATTTTAAAATGAGGCCCAGAAATTGTCATTTTCACAATTTCTGGGCCTCACTCAGCCGATGATGTATGTTGGGGGCAATATTATGGCTTTAGTCCTCTAAAAATTGCTCACTGCTGGTTTAGCAAAAGACTATGTTTGACATGTTATAGCTGCCCTGG